GTATCCGCGCCCAAGTCCGTGTGCTCCGAGATAAAATTTCCGATGCCTTCACCGATGATTGAAAAGTCGTAATTGAAGTTTTTATAGAACTGTCGCTTCGCCCCGTGCGATAAAAAAAAAAAAAAAAAAAAAAAAAAACAGCCTTACCGTTACTTAAGGGTACGCTGCTGTAAAAATTTCACTTTCCACCTGGAAAATGATTTAAAACACGTCGTATACACGCGTATGTACGTGCATTCCAGGCCCTTAGCTTTTCGCAGACCGCCGTCCCCATAAAGGACTAGAAACGGTGGTAAAACAACATCCGACGTCTTTTTTCTCATAAATATACCGAGAACAGTATATATACAGGTGGGGGAGGGGGCGAGGGAAAAATAAATTCCTTAAAAAAATACGAGGCATAAGTTTTTCCGTACAATAAACTAATAAGCTTTGCGCCAAAAGAGCATCGTAAATGCGCACACCTACGTCACCTGTACCACGCCCATAAAACCCCAAATGGTACGAGCGTTAGGGGGACGACGCGGCTAGAAATTCCAGCGTTTTCCGACAAAACTATACTTTCACCGTATATGTATACACCCCATGTAAATACACGGTAGTTTGCCACTGGGTTTCCTCTCCCTCTCTCTCTCTCCCTGTAACGGTTGTTCCCCCGCGTGCACCCGAAACCCTCGAACTAAGTGGTCCCCGCGTGCATACATAGCAGCGATTTCTCATCGGCACGCGTTTGTGCACGAGTCTTTTCTCCCTTCGTCGCTGGCAATTCGATTACACCAATAAATGATTGTTACGCTCGACGAGTGCCTAATATATGTATACCCAAGAAACAGTGCGTGTCGACGTCGCTTCGTTTGAACTATTGATTGTACACGGGAAAACGGTGCTGCTGCTGACAAATTGTAAGATAGTTACGGTGACATGTTGATGAGTAGGGGTGCTATTATTATTATTATAGTCGAAACTTTATTCCTGTTGAGGGAAACTTTGAGTCTGAATATGATTGTATTCGTGAAAATGCAACGGAAACTTATTTTGCGGAATATTTTCCAATCGTTCCTGGTCAATCAGTTCTTTAAGCAAGTGCCGTTTTTACACTTTTAAGTACATGGAAATCTATTTCACTTCTGGTGTAAAAACTGGACCCATTTTAATCTAGGATTTTTTAGTACCTTATTAAGTAATAAAAATATATATGATGCGTGTGGCTAATAATATGTAGATTTAATGGTATTGGGGTAAGAATAATATTAGATAGAGATAGTGTTGAAATACGTAAAAAAATAACGGTAATAGATAGAAATCGAATATAAATTACATTACACGTCATTCAACGAATTACATCGAATCAAAATTAAGCATTTACTTCGATCAAGTCACATGAATCAACCAATTTGGAAGCATCAAGTTAGATTAACTATAGAAAATCGATAATAATAGATACAATATTTCATATCCATTTCTATTCTCGATTATTGCAATGGGAATCCAAATAAAGTTTCAAGAGAGTATCGTTCACCTATGAATCCATAACGTGATACTCATTTGTAAATAACACAGTGCATTCTCCCCAATATTATACCCTTAAACGTTTAGGACAGATAATGTATATACTATAATGCTTGGTTTGTAAATATATAAATACCTTGAGGCTAAGTGGTTATTCTAAATCTACAAACCAAGACGTTTCTTTTTTTTATATATTAAAACTCCCTGAAGCAAGATATTCTCATTAATCGTAAAGCTGTTTTATATTTGTTTTTATCGTTTTATTCTTCTCTCTTTTCCTTTTGTTTCAAAAATTGCACCAACGAACACGCCCAAGATTAAGATTCTCCATTTACCCGTGTAGTCCCTTTTTTTATACATAAAAAGTATATTAGACACGGCCATGACAAGTGACTTACATAAGACATTCCTTTAATGCCCCAATTATTTACAGCCCCAATTAATCAATCAAACTTTTTTTAGTAATTTAGTTCTCATGATTGCAATAAACAAATTGACTCGTCCATAGGAGAGGCAAGTATATTTTAGATCGGTACCATTACCTGGGATACCGTAAACAACAGCATATTCTGCTAACGCTATTTGGACTACTGAATAAATATAGCGATAGACGGAGAATTTTAATCTTTCCGAAAAATCACCCCAAAAAAATGAGATATACCGATACAGTACAAAAGGTTTTTGGGCATAAACGAAACGTTTAATAATTGTCGTACAGAATTTAATCGTTTTTTTATACGCGTGGACATATTGGAGGATCATAGACATATATATGGGTACGTAAGATTGCAATTGCACGCGCGAGAGCAAGCGTAGCGCAAGAAAACTCTCAACTCGCCGCACTGCAAGCGAAAGCCGCTCGAGGGGGCGCCACCTTCTTGACCAAGGCCGTGGCTGCTCTCTCTCTCTCCATTCAGCTGCACCGTCGCTGATGTCTGGCTCAGCTGCTCCGCTCGATAATCGTCTTTGCTCGAAATTCTCCCTCCCTGCCCCTCGCACTGTTTTTTTCCATCAGAAAAAAAAAAAAAAAAAAAAAAAAACAGCCCATCAGTGCTGCAGTAATATTGCGGCTCGTGAATTCTCGCGCGTAACGATTGATCAATCATTAGATAAGCGACCCATTAATCATCGTTTTTAGACGCATCGGCCCCTCTCGTGCACACATCCATTTTCGATAGATCCTCTCTCGCTTATGATATTTACAAGTAATGTACACCACGTGACGATCACGGATCTGCACCGAAAACGACTTTTTTTTTTCTCTTTTTTCGTTCCGTTTGTTACACATCGCGTCGCAGCTCTTCTCGGATGAAGCGGTTCGCGGTGGGCATTTTTGTATCCTCGATCTCTTGGAACGAGTGATGAAAAAAAAAAAAAAAAGGAGGATTTTGCTGCCAGTCTCCGAAAAAACAGGTCCCGGGAACTCGTGGAGATGCACACGAGCGTCCGAAAATGAAAGAACAGCGGGTAGAGGGAGTGCCGTCATCATCCGCGTATAACACAAAAGACGGAAAGCCGAAAAAAAAAGGGGGTCGGGGGGAGGAAGAGATGGAAAGCCACTTAGGAGTATATGTATCGACTGGAGATTAATGCGCGTTGTTTTCCGTGCGCACACACATAGACGAAGATCGAAGGAAGCTCTGTTTCTTTTCCCTCGCCTCCCTTTTCCCGTGTGCTATACACGATTTCCCGGTTTATCTACACACGCGCCTGGCCTTCCACTTTTCTCTCGATGCTGCCGTGTATAGGGACACTTTGTGTGTTTAGGACGTTTGGCTTCACTTTACCCTATATACACATGTACGCACGTATACAAAGAGGATGGGTCGACTCCCCCCCAAATACATATATATATATATATATGCACTGTGCACTATTATTACAACACACACGCGCGCTCCGTATCCTCTCTTTTGGCTATTCTACATACATGATATCCCATATCCCGTCGTGTTTGGACACATTGTTAATGAAATTCGGTTCAGCCTCTACAATACACACCCGCGCCGTACCATTTTTCAATATTATTGGATTATCGGCAGACTCTCCGCTTATATACGTACGAGGCGCGTGCCTGTGCTGTGTTTACCGAAAACAATCGGGTTTTATATTCGCGTTTTGTCGCAAACAATGACACCCTCGTCTTGTTTTTTTCGATATGGGTGTGCGTCGCGTGGGAAAGCCGATCCCGAGGGTGAGTATTGCAGGGGGTGCAAGAGTTTTTTTGACAATTTTACATCGGTTGTACGTAAGGCAGTCCAAGCACGAAAATCGGTATGGACGACCTGTTGGCTTTTTTTGCTCCAAGTGACGCAACCCTCAGCAAGACGCATACGTAAGTACAGAACGCCACTTGGACATCTCTTTTGATTCCTCATTTGAAGCTGTCGCATGAGTATATAATGGGATCACGGCGAGTATAATGCCGATTCCGCGAAAACCACCCCTTGGCAGTTCCTTCCCACGAGGAGCAGAGGATCGCGGCGCAACGCCGCTCGGCGACTGATCTCCCGCTCTCCACCGCGAGGTAGTCGAACCCCCACCCCCGCCGATATCTCGCGAGTCCGCACCCCCTCGCCGCGGCTCTCGCACCTTAGTGTACAAAAACCCCGTGGCGCTCGGTCGTCTCCGTCGCCGGTCGGTCGGTTCCGGCGGGAGCGGCGGCGGCGCGCGCTCTCGGCGCTCCGCGGCAGCCAGTCGCTCTCCCAACCCGGCAGACGCGTTCGCGAGCCCGTGCCAAGAGGCCGTGGGTTTGGATATTTTGCCGCGACTAGTACATGTGTACACACACACACGCCCGGAGAGAGGGTGAGGGTCTTGCCCCTCGGTGAGTCGTGCAAATTACAGTGCTCCGTTCGTGTCTGCTATGTGTGCTTCCAGAGCTGGTCCACAGCCCGGGCCACGCTCCCCGGTGATGTAGTCCGCGAGAGCTCACCACTCGCGTGTCTTTTTTTTTTTTTTTGTTTGCTTGGTTCCACTTTTCTTTTTTTCTTTTTTTTTTGTTTCATCACACCCACCTGCCAGTCGAAGTTGTTAATCGCGCGAGTGCCTCGTTTTTTTTTTTTTTAAATTAATCCGGAGCTTACACGTGAGACGATGCGCAAGCTCCGAGAGCGAAGGTGAACAGCACCGCAGAACAGTCGCTCCGAAGTTTGGAGTCGCGCTGTGCAGCATCAGCGGTCCGTCGGATGCCGCGTCTGTGCGCGCGTATGGGGCTCGACTGATGCGACGGTCCCCACGATCGTTGATCTGTGAATCGACCCGCCACCACCCCTGCACTGCTGGATCATCGTGACGTTTGTTTTGTACACAGTGTGGTTTGTTTTTTTGTTTTTTTTTTTCCCCTCTTCCTTTCCGTTTTGTTGGAAGGAAATCGAGTGGTTTTGTGAGATATCGTCCAAGGGAGTACAAAGCATGTAACACAGTGTGCACCGCGGGGAGTTCAGTGAGGATCAAACGATGTCGATGACGAGGGATGTTCCGTTGCGCGAGAGATAGAGGAATAAAATAGAAGAAAAAAAAAAAAAAATCTCTCGGCAAAAGGTTGGGTGCAGAGTGTCCGTGGATGTGGCTGTGTGTCGTAAAAAGTGGTGCCAGGTGTGACTGCCTGCAGAGGTGGACGAAGACGACGGGGCGAGAGCAACGGCAGCCAAGTGGAGGAGGTGGAGCGAGCGACAATGGTATCCTCGTCCATAGTCACCTTGTTGTTCCTCGTGTGTTTGCAAACGGTGCTGCTGTCGACGATCAGCAATTGCGCCAAGACCATCAGCATGTACTGGAACACGACGAACTCCATGTAAGTGTCCCCGTAGTGGTTTTCTGTTTTTTTTTTTTTTGTTTTTTTTTTGTTGTTTGAGGTGTACGCGCTGGTTTTGCTTCGGAAATTCGCGCGCCGTATACTGGTGCGGTGATTCTGCGCAAACTTCCATTGATGTGTGTGTGGTGGATAACACCCTGGAATTAGTTGTCCCTCAAAGTTGGGTGGGGAGAAAAAAGTGCTCAAGTGATGTGTGCGAGGGCAAAAAAGCTCTTGAGTGCGCGAGTATGATGAAAATCGGTCCCCACAGTGAGACAGGATCGAGAGAAAAAGCGAGAGTTTGGTGATCCAGCGTTTCGTTGAAGTTTCAGTGGGTGAGGTGTGGTGACTGCTATTCCTTGAATCAGGATAATCTGTATCCTCAGGGATGAGGGAACTATGCGTTTTCTTCGTTGGGGTGAAAATCACATCTGTGGCTGTCGAAATTTTCCTAAGGACGGTACTTTGGGTCACTATTTCGCGTGTGAATTGGTGCCGTTTTCTAAATTCGATTGTTACGGTGAAATGGCCCGACTTTGAGTAAACACGGTAAAGTTGCAATACTTGTCGCTTAGAGTCAATCGAGTGTACGGAAAAACATGAATATTCTATACTGAACCCCAAAAAGTTTCGTTTTTTCGCAAAAGATCGGTTTTCAAGGCGCTTGTTTAAAAAAAAGTCCCCTATAGATACGGTAAAGACACATACGTGCCAACAACAAAAAACGCGCCCTCACTTTGCTGTTTCAGTCGACGATTCGCAAAGCCAATTCACACGCAAAAGTGTCGACATCCGAACGACAAATTTCCACAGCCCCGGCCGATCTTCGCTGCACCGTGAACACACATTTTCGAAAATTCAATAAACGCGAGAGATTTTTAGACTCCCTTTTTCTTTCCTCTCTCTCTCTCTCTCTCTCTTGTATACACGCGAGTCGGACGCGCGCGAACAAGCCAATCGGCCGCGTCGCATTTGCATCGAGGGCGCGGGGTTTCGCAAGCGCGTCGCTCTGTTAATGCAAATACCCGACAATTAAAAGCGAAGGCGCGTACTATACGTGTTGTACACCGTCGCGTCAAAAGACAAGGTGGAATGCGGGTTTTTTTTTTTTTTTTTTCATCCGTGGCGGGAATGCGCCTCGGGAAGAAACGCCCGAAACCAGTGTTGGACCTGTTTTCGTTCGTAAGAAACTTCGCATGCAAATCCGCGCGATTAGGAGACCCACGCTTTTTGGGCTCCTCGGTAATGAAGTCCGGCACGGAGGAAGATTTTTATAGTGCCCGATACTTGTCCAATTTCCAAGTACGTACATCGTTTTACCAACTGCAAGTGCAAAGTCGATTTTGTCTCGCGCGAGTCGGTTGTGCGAGAAGCAAGTTTCGATCGAAAACAGAGGGTGTGGGTGACGGTGCGCTGTCGAAAATCGGAAAGGAAAAAAGTGTACCGTTTTGCAACGAGACGCGTTGCTGATGAATAATTGTTTACCAACTTTTGTCAGCTTCGTGTGACACTTGTTACGTCGGACGAATCGAGCATCACGGCGTGCGTACAAAACACAAAAAATGGGCCAAAAAAAATAAAAATCGGCATCAATCATATCGCTCGAGAGAGAGAGAGAGAGAAAGAGAAGGAATAAGAGGCGAGAAGCAAAATTGTGATTAATTCCTACACAATTTTTTAACGATGATGAATTACGCCCCATTGAGTTTTTCACCGTCTCCCTCTTCTCCCGTCGCGTATACGGACCTTTGAAATCGTTTTCTGGTGCGCTGCTGCGGGACCAAGAACACATAATGCGCGTGTACAGGGGCGAGGTGGTGGCTCTCGCGTACACGCCCGAGAGGAGGAAACAATGCGAAAACAAAAATAAAAAATAAAGAGAGAAATCGAAAGAAGAAGGAGAAAGAGCGCGTATGTGGGCTCCTTTGTGCTCGCGCCCGAACAATGGGGAAAAAGATACATCTCGCGCGCGTGACTTTGTTTCTCTTATTTCTCGAATAATCGTTTGCGTATCGCCAGAGAGAGAGAAAAGGATCGCGAGGATTTTTGGGGGTGTACACACGTCGGTGAAAAATATACAGGCTCGTGGAGGCTTGAGAGGAAAAAAAAGGTTTAAAGACGTACATATGTTTAAAGTTTTGTTCAGTTCAGCGACTTGGTGAATCACGTATCGATGTATGCCACTTTATGCTCTTCCTGTACACCAAGAGAAAAAAAAACAATAAAAATGACAGTGCTAGAATGGTAATCTGGTGTAATTCCGCCGTGCAAGGAATTTTCACCATGTTAGCTTGATTCTATTACACAAACATTAAAAAATCACTGTACTCACTGTTGTAATCGGTAAAACTGATTGTTCAAATAGAAAAAAGTCTCTACCACTCTAGCACAGTCATTTCTTACAATTTTTCTCTCTCAGAGTATCGGTATAGCGTACAGAGGGAAAACAGATTTTACTTACGAATATTTGTACGATCGTAATTGAAACCTAAATCTAAAATTCGCCAATAATTGCACTTTGGACGAGAACAATGACAAACATCACACGGGATGTGCCAAACTGATTTAATTGTGCAGCTTGTTGATCAACTCCATCTACATGAGTCCCGGTAAAAGTAGAAACTCCGAGGTGAAAAATTACGCGTAACGCCCCATTTCCCCGCATGAATAAATATCCTTGTCAAGTTTCGGAAAAGAGAACAGGTCGAGTGCTCGGTATGATTTTCCCAAGCCCCAGCGAGGCCTTGTTCTGAAAAATACTCTCGTTAAAACTGAAGAAAGGAGTTTGCACACTCGGCCAAATGAATCAACTGAAATACTGAAATATCATGTCAACGAGCTCGCTTACGCCCACACCTGAACGAAAAAAAGCGACCCACCAACGAGTAATCGGAAGAGAAAAAAGGTGAGGGGGAAACTCGAAAGAAAAAAAAAAAAAAAAAAAAAAAAAAGGGGGGGGCGTGGGGGGAATCGGGAAAATCACCGTCGCGCACTTGCCTCGTACACAGTTGGTCCGTTATCACGTATACCGCGGGGCAGGGGGAGGCGCGGCTCGGCAAGTTCCAACACACACACGTACACGTATACATAGAGTGCAGAGAGGCAGGAGACTTCGATGCTAGGACGAGAGGCAGCGGTACCGTACAGAGCACCGAGTGAGGTTGAACTCTCCTCTCGTGCGCTTCCGCGGTCGTAGACACAAAACGCGGTGGCTCAGGCCAGAGTTCATCTTCCTCCTCCTTGTGTGATATTTTGGCCCTTGTTTTTTCCTGCCACCTATACCGAATTGGGATCGATTTGTCGAGTATACCGTTGGATCGGTTATTATTTTTTTTTTTTTTTTCCTTTCCCGGCGCTCTCTGTTGTTTCCCCGTCAACGGTACTCTTCGCGGTAGGATTGTAATTTTCTCTCCATCACGACATTACGTATTTCGTGCGTCCCCCCGTGGAAATTAGCCCCACGCTGATATTTTTACAAAAAAAAGTAAACTTTTCCCACTCGCTGCGTCGCTTATTAAAATAATCTCCCCTTGTTTCGATCCACTTATGGATATATATACATTTACGACGTGGGATATCGTACAAACGTACATTACGTCGATCGTGGTGCAGGGGCAGGGGGGGGGAGGAAGTAAAGTGTGCATTGTAAAAATCATAAATTACAAACTCGTACATACGAATCGCACACCGTACGTCGTTAAAGAATACGTGTATTCATAATTGCACGGTTTATGTGCATCTCTGTTAAAACCATGTGTTACTGCCTCGTTATACGCAATTAACGCGTATAGTTTCAACGACGACGACTGCACATTTATACATATCCATCACCGAGATATTTTCCAATAAAAAAAATACTTGCACGATACACACAGGTCGTGGCGTAATTGGTAAACACAACATGCCCACACAGCACGTAAATCTCGATTCTGTAAGAATAGTAAATAATCCTTGCTGCTGAAAGACCCCCGTAAAAGGTGACAGTGTAACGTCTTCATCAGAGAACGATACGCCAATTACCATCGCGGAACACACACAGACAACACCTTCTTCTTCCACTTTCGCATTGTTGTGATCTGTATGTATGAATGTACAGTTTGAACAATATGTGTTTTTTACGCTCAATTATGACCATAAAAATCCATGTACTCGGATATACGAAGAAAACCCAAACAATAAAGTATATTGTGGGGGTAGCTGTTATCGCACAAGGTCACCCAGCGACCTCGCGGACGCATCGAAATTCCACTCGAGACGCAATTGTACCAACACACGCGTATCTCGTCGATTCCCCATGTCGTGGCGCCGGACTCTCTCTCTCTCTCAGTCCATAATTACATAACGGCGTCAACGATCCTAATTGCCGTCAATTAGACCGCCCTGGGGCACTTTAAGCCTTCCTCACTCCTCAGCTGCATCTGTCCCCGTATCATTACGGACAAAAAATTTTTAAAACACAATCTCTCGACGGACCTGCACGTATGTATTTAATATACGGGGGAAAAAATTAAATACCCTCCGCTTCAATGTAGCTGGAACAACGACGGGTCCGAAAGGCCCTTCTTCTTCTTCAACCGTAGTGCGATACACAAACGTAATACGTATAGGCTCGAGAGAGTGTGTATAAATTGAAAACTTTTCACGCTCCATGGGCGAGTTGGAGAATAAAAAAGAACGATTAATTTACGTATACGTAAGCGCGAGATGGCTGATAACGCGCTCTTTTGTGTGTGGACCCACGCGTTAAATTGACGGATGGGATCGTTACGTGAGCGTTTAATTAAACGCGATCCTATAATATATGTATAAATGTGTACAAATGTATATACATATATGTGTGTGCGTGTGCGATAATATCGGCTAATCAGTTGTTTTAAACGAGCCCGTGCAGTTATATATATACATTGAATTTTGTTACGTCGCAACACGAATACATATTATATAGAAAGAGAGATTTGTTGGGACTTTCTATAAGATAAAACGAGACTTTTCCTCTTAAC